ATATTTTGTTACGATACCGGAAGTTCCAGCAATTTGCCTTAAGGCACGATGCCATACACCCCACTAGTTTATCTTAATAATTTCGATATTCGCTGGATATTTAAAGAATCGACTCGACTAATTTTTACACAATCTAATATATTTTATGAATATGTTTCAGTATAAACTGTTTTTATTTATAGCTTCTTTATAAACTGTTTTAGACTTGAAACGTTGGATAAACATTGAAAGGATTTTTTGTGAAAATTTAATCTTATTTGCTTGAGAAAGTAATTTTTTTATACTCACATTGGTTTTCTTCCAGTTAATTTCAACAATGTGTCCACAACGACTGCAACTAAAGCGTTTAGTAACACGAACTGAAATAAAATAATATATATATATATACATATATATATATATATATATATATATATATATATATAACAGCATTTCCTTTATCTATTACTATTATTACCTGAATTCTGAATGATGTCAAACTTTTCGCAAAATTACAAAACGGATACCACATGGCTCCATTATAAGGATATTCGTGAATTGCTGCCAATGATAAATCGCGAATTTCTGAATGTTTGTACTTCAGGTACCTGTCCATAGTGCAATTATAGACTGGAAGATTTTCTGTATCTCTGAAATAAAGAATAAATATATAAATATATAATAATCAGGACAGACAGAATATTGAGGACTTAGTATTGTTTTATTACCTTTCTGTTCCTTTTTTCCAAGCGGCTGTCATCATGCCATTTACAACCAGGTCAACCGGCATATTGTCTGTTATATGATTAGGATCTGCTTGCATGACTCTTAAAAATCCTGAAATTTGAAAATAAGGACATAAAATGTATATCTTAGATGTAGATTTTATATTTTGATTTTTACCTTTGCCTGATGCTAAATTGAGGCCGATGGGTCCATTTAAATTGTCAGTCCATCCTGGCAAAGGATCCTTCCACATGGAGATGACTGAAAATAATTTTGTTGAATTTATGCTACCTATGTTTATCTAGTGAATATTTTGTATCTCACCAACTCCTGGTCGATAAATAACTAAAGGCAGACGATGACTGTATCTTCCACGACATTCTCTGCCAAATGTTTCGTGTAAAGATAGGTATTCTTCAAACCATTCAGACATCTGAAGATAAACCAGAATATAATTCATGCTGGACACATTTTCAATATAACTCACTTTTCGGTTAAACAAGCCATTGTATAGTCGTCTTGGTAGCTTTCTGCCAACTTGATGGCTTCTTTCCAATCTCCATGGTCTCTGTAGACTTTTTCTTCGATGACATCTTTGTCGGTGTTGCAATATACAGTTGACACGTGGACACCAACCACCAAATTTGGCATCTCTAACATCAGTTCCATAATTTCGCGTGTTCCTCGAGTGTTCATGAGGGTTGCCTGTTTTAGGGGATCATCGAATCTAGTGAAAAATAAAATACAACATATATGAGTTTCTTCGAACTCCAAATAGAGAAAATTTTTTTAAATTACTTTTTTTCGGCTTTTGACGATTTATTGACTATTTTATTACCTGACACTTGCTGCAGCATGAAAAACGACATGGCAGCCTAAAAGTCTTTTCCTGTCTTCCTCGTTCAGGCCCAATCGCAATTCACTGACATCACCAGAAATAGCTTGGACTTTGTTCAAAGCTTTTGGATTGTTTTGTCTTATTATATCAAATAACTGAAATAGAGAAAGTGATATGTTATTAATGAATATTATTATTATTTCAATTTATTTTTATATTACCGGATTGTCCAGGATAATTCTGACTCGTTCCTGAGGGTTCTGGTTCTTCTTACTTCTGACCAGGAGATAAATGGTCTTCACTTCGGGACAGCATCGTAAAAGTTTCTCGATTAGGGCTTTTCCGATAAATCCTGGTGATGGAATATATTTATCATGTTGTGAAATGAGCAAACCTTGTTATAAATAATGGAATTGTATTGAAATAATTACTCAACACATGAGTAAAATTAGTTTTGTTCTAAGGTCAGTTAGCAAACTTGTCCTACTTTATAACATTAATACTTCTACCATGTTTCAACTTTAAATTTTGCACATATTTACGTTTAAAAACCTTATGAACTTAGAAAAATTGGATGGGCACAAGTTTTTGTCAACGATTTCGAGTACGTGGATCACCTGATTTTATTAATTTAAAAAACTTTTGATTTCTATTGGTAAGGAGATGTGTTGATTAGTTTTTGGCAAAGGCAGGTCCAGCCGTTTTGGAGCAAAGAGTGCAGAAATAGAATTAGAATAGAATGCAATTCAGATTTTGGAGGAATGGAACGTCCGATTTGAATGAATCAAAAAACATTTTATTTGTTTTGATGGTGTGAGGAAATTATTAGATTTTTAGGGCGAGGCAGATCCAATTGTTCAAAAAAATCATAATTTTCGAAAAAATCCAATTAACGAAATTTTTCAGAATTTTCAACAAAATTCAAAATTATGTATAGAAACGATTTTTTGAAAGTTCTTATTAAGAAAAATTCAAATTTTTCAAATGTTTTCAAAATCTTAAAAAGATCTAGTTTTTTCAACTCATAAAAATTTAAATTACGATACGGTAAGTTCCAGCAATTTGCCTTAACGCACAAATCATGCACCATCAGTTATTTGTTCACTTATTGGTTTTTCCTTGAAACTCTCTAAGTGAATATTTAAAACCAAATCTGAGAACTGTTGAAAATATCTTATGTATGTCCATTTTACTCACCGCTTCCTCCAGTTATGAAAACTTGCTTCCCATTAAAAAATTCAGGAATAGTTATATCTGTCATAATTCCTTCCTCCTAATTTCAATCCAGATTTGTATGTCCAATTCCTTTCCTGGTCGTCCACTAATTGTCCTCCTGGTCGTTTAGCTATCGGCCTAGAACTGTCGATTGCAATTTCCGATGCACAAATATTATATTATCGAACAAATGTTTATTTCATAAATTAACAATCTAATGTTATGCGATAACTTAATTTATTATTGTGCATTAATTTGTGTGACGACTATAATATGGAATTAGAATATTGTTTTGCATTAGAAAGGTCCTTGATGACCAATAAGCAAATATTAGTTATTTATTTATTCAGAAGAATGTTTTAATATATTAAAAAATATTATTTTAGGTCAAGAATTGTGTGATTGAGTGTTTGAAAATATATAAAATAAAAAATCTGTAATACAAACTAGTGGTGCATGTCATCGTGCCTTAGGCAAATTGCTGGAACTTCCCGTACCGAAAATTAAATTATTAAAAGTGATTAAATAGATACCGAAAATTAAATTATTAAAAGTAGAATAGATTTTTATGAAATTTTGAAATTTTTCAAAAAAAATGACTTTTTGAAGAATTAAAATTTTTCATATTAAGATTTTTTTGTATTTTAATTCATTTTGAAATATTTGAACATTTTTTTAAGCAATCGTGCTGCATAGCTGATTTGAAGTCGAAATATCAAAGCGCGTAAGCGCCGCGAAGTCTTGCTTTATTAAATTAGTCTACAAATTTGTTACTTTTTATAGATTTCATGATTTTTCTTAAAAAATTAATTTTTGGCCTGCTGCCTTATTTCGCCATTTTTATTAAATAGTCTTACAGGCACTTGTCAAAGTCTTTCCTAAAAGCTACATACTAAATTACTAAAAAAAATTTAATGCCATATTAACTTCCCGTAGGGTAAGTTATTGTGATCGTCCAAAAATCGAAATTGAAAATTTTTGCATATCTTTACGTTTTAGAGGTTTCTGAACATTTTGGCATACAAAATGAATGTGTGTGCGTGTGTGTGTATACCATTTTTCGTCGACGATTTCGGGCGCACGGATCAGCCGATTTAAATGGTTCAAAAAACATTCGATTCTTATTAATAGGGAGATGTGCTGATTAGTTTTTGGCAAAGGCAGGTCCAGCCGTTTCGGAGATACGGAGCAAAGAGTGCAGAAGATAGAAATCGAGTTTTTGAGAGAACTGAGCGTCCGATTTGAATGATCTAAATAACATTCAATTAGTAATGATTGGGAGAAGTGGTTAATTTTTGGCAAAGGCAGGTCCAGCTGTTTCGGAATTATTGAGCTAAATATGCAAAAAATGGCAGTTTTTGAGTGAACTAAGCATTCGATTCGAAAGATTCAAAAAAACTTCCCACTTCTTCTAACGAAACGATTGCTTTTGGAAAAAAAAATTTTTAATTTTTTTTATTTTCTTAAAAATATTGTTTTCTTGGATATCGAAAATAATTCGGTTTTCAATTCTAATTCTAGCTAAAGTTCTAAAGCTCACTTATATACTTCAAATAAATAATTTTAACTTTGCACTTTACTATATATAATTCTTATAAATATTAGACAATGTCCTTCATTTTAAAATCGATCGATTAAGTTTTGTTTATTTACCTTTTTGTAAAGATGTAAGTTACAGCATTTATAGTAATATATTTTAAAACATTTAGTATTCCTCGAATATTTCATTATGGTACGGGAAGTTCCAGCAATTTGCCTTAAGGCAATACACCACTAGTTTTCTATTACATGTATTTATTTCTATACAAACGGTATTTAATATTCACAAATAACATTATTAGTTTTTGTCAAGGTTATTCCAAATAAGTAACCAAAAGTAATAGAAATTATTTCAAAATTTATATTTTATAATTTATTTATTTATTTTATATTTTATGATTATAATTTATATATTTTTAAATCTTATCCTAAATGAATATAATAACTTAAACAGCTAAAATAGCAATTATGTATTTAATTTCAAATTGTTGTTTTTTTTATTTTATTATAAATCTTAATAAACATCAATTAAAACATATTACTATATGGTAACAAAGAAGAGAAAAGACCATCTGACGAACTAAAAAATATATTGTTGATCGAATCTTTTTTTTTAAATGAAAATAAAAGTGTTATTTTTCTATCAAAGAAATATTGTTAAATATTACGTATGTTCATAACAAAGTTATTTCAATTTTATTTTTTACAATGCAATGTAATCCTTAACAATACTCTTAAAACATCTGGACGAGAATACTAAGTAGACCAAAGTGCCCAAAAGTGCGTACACTATTGTGTAGTATATAATTTTATTTCTGGAATTAAACAAACATTAAATTTAAGTAACTGTGTGAAAATTTGTATTATTGTTTTTACCTTTTGAAAATTCTTTTATATTCCTTAGGATTTTCTGGCTCCTTCAAAAGATATTTTGATGATCCTATCCTGACGTTCCATGCAAATTCGTAGGCGTCAAAGGTTTTCATGTCGTAGTCGAAATCGTTTCTATAAATAAATAAAACAAACCGTTTTTTATTTAGTTAAATAATTGTAAAGTATCTATTTTATTACCTGTCTTCAGGTAACAAATTTTGTAGAGAATCCCAAAAGTTGTCACTTTTGAAGTCCCAGTTTCTGTTCGTAAAATATCCGACTGCCAAAATTGCGACATAAATTTTTCGCAGAATCTTCATCAATCTTAAACAGAGTATAAAATTAGTTTTAACATTGTGTAAAAAGTGTTGTTTTTGTACCGAGGTTTAACTTACATTGGTTTGTGTCCAGTGATTTTTAAAATGTTGTCCACGAAGAAACCTGGAATTATGTTGTAGAAAAAGAACTGGAAGAAAAGTTTATTAGTTAAGAGATTTTCTTTAAGTATGCTTTGTACTTAAAACATAATTTTCTTTACCAATAACCAAAATTTTGTCCAACTGCCGATAAACGTGCACCTTGGGTACCAGAAAGTCCTAAAAGGCATCTTCGAGTTCACTTCAATCCCGATTTTGTAGGCGCGTTCTTGGTTTATCACAAATTTATTGTAAACCGAACAGTTGTAGACCGGTAGATTTCTTTGAGGATCCCTAATTACCCAAAAGGATAAATCACAGTCATATAGAGATTAAATAGAAGAAAGGGTGCAAATTACCTTTCTGTCACTTTATTCCAAGTTGCTACCAGGAGGCCTTTGATAATTACATCTACTGGTATGTAGTCCAGTACGACCTTTGGGCCTGTATACATCACTCTTAAGAGCCCTGATTAGATAGGAAACGTTTATAAAAGTTATTACCAGATAATGTCATCCCCAGTTACCTTTTGCTCCGGCAATGTTCAGAGCTATAGGTCCGTTCATGTTGTCAAACCATCCCGGTATTGGTTCCTTCCATGGACACACGACTGCAAATGAAAATATAACACCATACAACTTTAAGAATGATAATTTGTCAGAAGTTGCTACTTACCAATGCCTGGTCTGTATAAAACCAAGGGCAGTCTGTCGCTGTAGTCTTCTACGATATTTTCAGCCAGATGTTTGGTGTACAGATATGTATTCCTCAATCCTCCTAGACATCTAAAAATAATAAAAACTCATATATTCTGATAATTAGCTTTACATGTTTTGGAACCTGATACTACTTACTTTTCGGTGAGGCTTGCAAATTCATAGTCATCATTATAGTTTTCAGCCAGTTTGATGGCTTCCCTCCAATCTCCGTGGTTTCTATACACTTTTTCCTCGATGACATCCTTGTCGGTGTTGCAATATGTGGTTGACACGTGGACACCGACCACCAAATTTGGCATTTGCAACATTAGTTCCATAGTTTCACGAGTACCTCGAGTGTTCATCAGGGTTGCCTTTTTAATGGAATCATCGAATCTAACAGATGCACAAGATAAATTATTTTTGTTTAGATCAAAGATCTTGATTTGACTCACCTGACACTGGCGGCCACGTGGAATACAATTTCTGACCTGAGTACTAATTGTTTGTCAGATTCGTTTAAACCCAATTGAAGTTGACTGACGTCACCAGATACTGCCACCACTTTTTTAAATGCTTTGGGATTTTTTTCTCTGACTAAACTGAATAACTGCAAAAGATGTTAAATGAAATAATCTCAGATTTTATATTTTATATCAGTGTTTAGTATTGCCAGATTACCTCATTTTGTAAAATGTCATCGAGTCGCTCCTCAATCGGTTTGCCCTTTTTCTCTCTCAGAAGCAAATAGATGACTTTGAAATCAGGGCAACTCCTTAAAATCTTCTCTATTAGGGCTTTTCCGACGAATCCTAAATAAGAATAATAATATTAAGGTTATACAGCTCTGTGGTCGACTTTAAATTAAGGGACTCCAGGTCAAGTTTCTATCTGACAACCTGAGAAATTTGCCTGACTGCTCAGAAACCACGTGGTTTTTGTCAATATTTAGAACGATTTTGTATTTAAAGTTCTACATAACATAGACTTGCCATAACATTAGTATCTTATGCGACAGAATCGGTCCCTAATTTTTTTAATTTATTTCAAATCATAACATTAGTCTCTTATGCGACAGAATCGGTCCCTAATTTTTTTGATTTATTTCCAATCATTAGATTTGTATGAATGATGCATTATTACAAGAGAAAAAACATAATTTAGAAATCAAATAAAAGCACACTAATTTTCTGCATTTTGTGTGCTTTAAGATATTTAAAAAAGATATTTTTTTGTTTGTTTCGACATTCAGTGTCGAAACTTTTAAAATGAACATAACTTGTCACTCACTGAAAATACTTTTAATAATTTCACCAAAAGTAGGACTTGGCCCTCTTGCAAATTTATAATTAGTAACTTTGTAAATAAAATTACTGATTTTTTGATGTTTCATAAAATTTAGAAGATTCTAACTGAGAAGTGTAAAAAAAATTGTAGAAAATAATAAAAAAATTATATACATGCATATACATTTTATGTACCTACCGCTGCCACCAGTGATAAAAATCTCTTTATCTTTGAAAAATTGTGGAATAGTTGGCACAATCATTTTTATCACTAATTTTTATTAATATTATGGATCAACTATCTTCTAAACAATGTTCATTCTTTGGATTTCACTGAGGGTCGTTAATAAAAATAATTCTAATTCTATTTTCTATTAAAGAATGTTTTTGATTCTGATGGTAGTTTAAAACTGTTTTGAATCATGAGTGCGATTTCTGATCTTTATGATTTTTTTCAATAGGTCAAAGTGATAGTTTATTAATTTTAATATTAAAATGTTTACAGATTTTTATTATTAGCATATTGTTTACAGGAAAGGCTTCTGTGTAGATTTTAATATTATTGAATATTAATAAATCTATACTTATAAATAGGTGTTATTTTGATTTGAAAATTATTTAGTTTAGAATTTTTTCTTTTTAACTTCCTGAAAATCGTGATATCGACGAAAATCCGATTATCTAATTTCATGTTTCGAGTCATTCTGAATCTGAATTGAAGCCAAAATTAAATAAAGTATGTGTGTTTATCTATGGTAGCCAAAAGTTGACCTTTTGTCGATGTTTTGTTAAGAATAGTTAAACCGATTTCAAAAATTCTAGTCCACGTTTTTGCGAAAAGTTTAAAAAAATTTGTCCACGTTTTTGCCAAAAATTCTGATACGCTTTTGAAAATTCAAAAACTTTCCGAAAGTATCATTTGCAATCGTGCTGATTAGAGTAGTAGATCGGCCAGGCCGTTTTTTTATTTTATTAACTTTCCGTAGGGTAAGTTATAGTAATCGCAAAAAAATCGAAAATGAATTTTTGTATATCTTTACGTTTCGAAGGTTTCTGAACATTTGGCATACTTCAGAAAAAATGGATGTATGTGTGGGTATGTATGTGCGGATACAATTTTCGTCGACGATTTCGGGAACACGAATCAACCGATTTGAATTGTTCAAAAAACATTCGATTCCTATTGGTAAGGAGATGTGCTCATTAGTTTTTGGCAAAGGCAGTTCTAGCCGTTTCGAAAATACGAGACAAAGAGAGCCAAAAATTTAAAATTCAGTTTTCGAGGAAACGGAGCGTCCGATTTGAACAATTCAAAAAACATTTTGTTTGTATTGACATAATGAAGTACCGTTTACATTTTGCGATCAAAAATGATCATTAGACATATGCACATCAAATTATATTTTTTTAGAGATTTTAATAATATGTATGAATTTTGTTTACATTACGGCGTCAATGTTTATCTGTAAGACAGCGATGCGTCGCTTACGCGCTTCGAAATTTATTCTCTAAAACAGCCACGCAGCACGATTGCTTTGGAAAAAAGTTAAAATTTTCAGAAAAATTCAATGTATAAAAAAATCTAAATATAAAAAAAACTAATTTTTCAAAAAAAAACATTTTTATAAAAATTTCAAAATTCTCAAAAATCTATTTTTTTCAACGGTTTCAAAAAATTTTAAAGGTTTTTTTCAAAATTTTAATTTTTGGTACGGAAAGTTCCAGCAATTTGCCTTAAGGCACAATGCCATGAGCCACAAGTTAATTTCACTCTGCAAAATTATTTTCTTGGCTTTGCAATGAATAAGATTTATTATTAAATATTCATAATATTTGATATTAAAATATTGTTAAATAATTATTAATGCGTTTATTTATACCAAATTTATTTTAATTTTTACATATGATTAGACTACAATGTATTCCTTGACGATACACTTGAAACATCTGGACGAGAATACCAAGTAGACCAAAGTGCCCAAAAGTGCGTACACTATTGTGTAGTACAGAATTTTATTCCTAGAAGTAAACAAACCATAAATTTAATAGAATAGAATAAACATTCATATTTATTTTTCTACCTGTTGTATATCTTTTTGTATTCGGCAGGATTTTCTGGCTCCTTCAAAGATACCTGGATGAACCTAGCCTACCATTCCATTCCCATGCAAATTCATAGGCGTCAAAGGTTTTCATGTCGTAGTCGAAATCATTTCTGTTAGAAAAACAATTGATAATTTCGAATTCAATTTTCATATTGTCATATAATATGTTAAACTCTGCCCACCTGTCTTCGGGTAACAAATTGTGCAGCAAATCCCAAAAGTTATCACTTTTGAAGTCCCAATTCCTCGTCGCAAAATATCCGACTGCCAAAATGGCTACATAGGCTTTTCGCAGAATCCTCATCAATCTTAATCAAATTATTAAATTAATCAACAAATAATAAACAAAGTATGTTTTCACCAAAGTTTTTACTTACATCGGTTTGTGTCCTGTGATTTTCAAAAGGCTGTCCAGGATGGATCCTGGGATTATGTTGTAGAAGAAAAACTGCAAGAGAAAATAGATACAACGTAGTTGTCTAAGTCCAGTGGTTTAATATTACATAATCTGTTTTACCAATAACCAAAATTTGATCCAACTCTCGGTAAACGTGCATCTTGGGTACCAGAAAGTCCTATAAGGCGTCTTCGAGTTAACTTCCATACCGATTTCGTAGGCGTGTTCTTGGGTCAAAATAAATTTATCGCCACCGAACAGTTGTAGACAGGTAGATTTTTTGTGGATCCCTAAATATCAAAAGGATAAATTACAGTCGGACAGTGATTAAATAGAATAGGTGCAAGTTACCTTTGATTCACTTTATTCCAAGCAGCGACCAAGATGCCTTTGACAATTACATCTACTGGTGCGTAGTCCAGTACGACTTTTGGGTCAGTATGCCATCACCCTTAAAAGACCTGAATAGATACAAAATATTAATAAAACATGTTACCAACTAGTATTGTTAAGTATTTACCTTTTCCAACGGCTACATTTAAACCTATAGGCCCATTCAAATTGTCAACCCATCCTGGTATTGGTTCCTTCCACGCAGACACGACTGCAAATGAAAATATAACACCATACAAATTTATGAATGGTGATTTGTCAGAAGTGTGTACTTACCAATGCCTGGTCTGTATAAAACCAAGGGCAGTCTGTCGCTGTAGTCTTCTACAATATTTTCAGCTAGATGTTTGGTGTACAGATATGTATTCTTTAATCCACCTAGACATCTAAAATTAACCAAAACACATATATTCTGATAATTAGCTTTTTATGTTTTGGGACCTGTATACTATACTTACTTTTCGGTGAGGCTTGCAAATTTATAGTCATCATTATAGTTTTCAGCCAGTCTGATGGCTTCCCTCCAATCTCCGTGGCTCTGTACACTTTTTCCTCTATGGTGTCTTTATCAGTGTTGCAATAAGTAGTCGAGACGTGGACACCAACCACCAAATTTGGCATTTGCAACATTAGATCCATAATTTCACGGGTTCCTCGAGTGTTCAATCATGGTTGCCTTTCTTAGGGATCGTCGAATCTAACAATTGCACAAGATAAATTATTTTTGTTTGGATCAACATCATGATTTGACCACCCTGACACTGGCGGCTACGTGAAATACAATTTCCGATCTGAGTACTAGTTGTTTGTCAGATTCGTTTAACCCAATTGAAGTTGACTGACGTCACCAGATACAGCCACCACTTTTTTTAAATACTTTGGGATTTTTTTCTCGTGCCAAATTAAATAACTGTAAAAGATAATAAATAAAATAATATCAAGTATTAGAGTTTAGTGTTGCCAGATTCAATAATTATATCTATATATATCTCGTGTTCCTCATTTTGTAAATGTCCTCGAGTCGCTCCACAATCGGTTTGCCCTTTTTCTCTCTCAGAAGCAAATAGATGACTTTGAAGTCGGGACAACTCCTTAAAATCTTCTCTAATAGAACTTTTCCTATAAAACCTGGAATTAAATTAGGTGTAAGTGGCATTTTGCCTAAATGTGAATTGCATAAATATTCCGATATGAAAATTTTGCAACTTAGATTTTCTGGTAAAACTTGTTCTTGGAGAAGTTAAAATAGAAAAATAACTTAGTTGGATTCAAAAAAAATGTTTAAGTCTTCCGTGCGTTTATAACAGAAATACCACAACTAGTAGCATCGCGCCTTAAGGCAAATTCCTGGAACTTTCAGAAACAAAAATTAAATTTTTTAAAAAGATTAAAATTTTTCTTTAAACTTTGAAAAAATTAGATTTCTGAGAAATTTTAAAATAAAGAAAGACTTTTTTAAGAAGAGACTTTTTTTTTTTTTTTGTTACAATTATATTTTTGTTAATCAAGACTTTAATGTCTTATTTACAAATTGATATGAGCAACAAAAAAACATACAAAAAAAAAAAGCAATAAATTGAATATAAAATGAAAAAAGTTAAAATAAAATAAAATAAAACAGTAATACAAAAATAATAACAAAAATGAACTATGACGTGATTATGTATGCCGCGTACTACAAGAAGAGACTTTTTGATGAAACAAAATTATATTTTGGGAAATTTTTGTTTTCAAAGCAATCTCGCTGCTTTATTTGCATAGAGACGAAATATCGAAGCGCGTAAGCGCCCGTCGCAGTCTCAGACAAACGATGTTACGGATCCCATAAAAATGTAAACAAATTTTATACTTATTATTGAAGCTTCTATAAAATATCTAATAATTTGATGTGCATATGTCTAATGATCATTTTTGACCGCCAAATGGATTTTTTTTAAATTTTTTTTTACTAGATCTCCGAAACCGCTAGACCTGCCTTCTCATATATTTAATTAAATTTTATTTTTTCAAGACTAGTAAAAAATGTATTTGAAATATTGAAATCGGACGCTCTGTTTCTCTTAAAAACTGATTTCACATTTTTGGCATTTTTTTGTCCCGTATCTCTAAAACGGCTTAACCTGCCTTTGCCAAAAACTAATCAGCACGTATCTCTATCAATAGGAATTGAATGTTTTTTTTAATCAAATTGGTTGAACCGTGTTCCTGAAGTCGTCGACGAAAATTTGTATCCGCACACACAGTGCACACACACACATACGTTTCAGTTTTCTAAGGTATGCTAAAATGTTCAGACACCTGAAACGTAAATATGTATAAAAAAGATTTTTCGATTTTTTCGCGATTACTATAACTTACACGTAGAACAAAAGACGTGCATAATAAATGAAATAATAATAAATATGAGAATAACAATATTAAGTTATGAATTAACTGACAA